CCCGCCACAACGCCTGGCTATTTTTTGGTTGCAGCCATTATTGTTGTTTGGCGGCCCCGGGCTGGATTCAAACCCGCCAGCTCAGGTGTTATGTGGCTGGTGCCTCAGCCGCTTGAGCCACAGGTGCCGAGCCGGCAAAAATATTTTATACATATGACATATGTGATTGGTATGCAAAGCATTGAAATCACATTAGAAATAGAAGCAAAATATGTAAACAGGCTATTCACATAGGAAGAAATAAATGTTAAGTCAAAACATGCAAAGTGCCAACGAGAGAAAGTAAGTGCCTGCTAAAACATTAACATACTACCTCTTGTTACATTTCATAAAACTGCTTACAGACATCCCAGTGCTGGTGAGGATGCAGTGAAATGCGCCCTTACTTGGCTAGTGAGGGGGTAGGACTGCTATTAAATAAATGTGGTTTGAAACACTGATGGCTTATGGATTAAGAGATGCAAAGACACTCATCCACCTTGATTAACTGATACAGGAAATCTAACCACAAATAAAGAAAAAGATACATATGCGCCCCAAACATTCACTCCGTCACTATTACAGTGGTGGAGTACGTCGAAGAAATACACACGTCAAACAAAAAAGAAACAAGTTATAGCCACGTGACGGACTATGATGGAGCCATTCAAATACCACGTCCCAACCAGAGTGGAAGCTGTTACTATTTAGCGGACACCAACACGCACCCACTTTACCTACTTGACGCCGCTGAATCGCTCACAATTTTTCTGGTTTTTTTCTACTGTGATAAAATGCACATAACGTAAAATTTACCATCTTAACCACTTTTAAGTGTATAGTTCAGTGGTACAAGGACATCCACATTGCTGTGCAACCATCACCACCATCCATCCCCTAGACTTTGTCACCATCTGAAACTCCGTATCCATCACTCGCTAACTTCCCACCCCCCACTCCCCCAGCCCCTAACAACCACATTCTACTTTCCGTCTCCGTGAATTTGACTACTCCAGGGATCTCATGTAAGTGGGATTATACAGCATTTGTCTTCTTTGTGGCCATCGTATTTCACTTGGCATAATGTCCTCAAGGTTCACCCATGTGGTGGCACGTGCCCAAATTTCCCTCCTTTTTAAGGCTGAATGATATGATTCGCCTGTGTGTGTGTATTACATTCTGTTTATTCATTCACCAGCCATGGACACTTGGGTTGCCTCTGCCTTTTAGCTCATGTGAGTAATGCTGCTATAATCCCGGGCATACAATTAGGTTATCACTCAACAATTTTGCAAGAGAGAGCTAGTCCCCAACTCACACATGAGGAAACCAAAGTCTCTGCACAAGTTTTTCACAAACAACATTCCATAGTCATAAGTAGCGGGATCTGGTTATGAGCCAGCCAGGTTTTAATCAGAGGTGAAGCTCAAGTTCATGCCGTGAGCTTGAGCCACCAAGGGACAGCAAATGCCATGCAGGCTGTGGCCCAGATGCCACATCACACAAATAACAGTGGAGTAACTGACACTCAGGAATCCGCCGTTCTTCCATGAGAGTAAGATGGGGCCACTCTCCAGCACACACTTCCAGACAAACTCTGGCACTGATACCATTTGTGGAGAGGAAGCCGGGTTGTTTAAGAGAAACTACTACCATTCAAATGCAAGACCCATTTGCATTGACAAACAGGGCAGAGATGCCCCTGCCAAACTCACCTTTTAAGTTTCTTTACTTTATTTCTCCAAAGTAAAAGAAGCTATGTAAAAATACACAGTGCAAATGATCAAAAGGATTAAGGGACTCAGAACCTTACAGAGATGCC